ACACACACACACACACACACACACACACACTTCACTCACACACACTTCACACACACACTCTAACACACACACTCTAACACACACACTCTAACACACACACACTTCACTCACACACACACACACTTCACTCACACACTCTAACACTCTAACACACACACTCTAACACACACACTAACTCACTCACTCACTCACTCACTCACTCACTCACTCACTCACTCACTCTAACACACACACACTCTCTAACACACACACACTCTCTAACACACACACACTCACTCACTCTAACACACACACACACACTCTCACACACACTCTCACTCACACACTCTAACACACACACACACACTCTCTACACTAACACACACACACTAACACACACACACACACTAACACTCACACACTTCACTCACACACTCTAACACTCACACACTCTAACACTCACACACACTTCACTCACACACTCACTCACTCACGGAGGCTGTGTTACCTGTAGGTTTTGATGTGGTCAGCTACTCCGCACAGCTGCAGACTGTGTGTCAGGGCCTGATGATACGTCAGAGCTTGAGTGGACGAGCCCCAGTTCACATCTGTAAGACCACAACAATCCCATGAAGCACTGCTGCTGCACTGAAGAACAGCTGAAGCTGTGTCTCATGGTCCAGTCCGGTTCACCTGGTTTCTTGTAGCTGACGTAGATGTAGAGGGACAGGACGATGACGTTGGTCAGGAGGGCCGCCCACCAGTTGATGATGAACATGACCACACAACACAGGATGGCCCCGGCCAGAGACACCCACATGTTGTAGTACTTGAAGCTCGGCCTCCATCCTGACAAACACGGAGCAAACACTCAGACTCCAGTCAAACAGCAGGGCATCCGCTGCAGTACTACGGGTGAGCATTTGGCAACATAGGAGAAGGTCAAAATACCCTAATTACACCCCACAACGGGAGCCACGTATTGGAACGGAGCAACTAAACAGTTGGGATAAAACCAACAATGGTTCTTTGTGGTAGGAAAGTGCTAACTGTGCCGTTCTGCCACGTTACGCAACAGTGTGGGACACAAAGAACGGGACGCCACCGCACAGAATCAGAGCGTCCAGAATCTGCTCAAGACATTTAATACCAGACTGTTAATGGTGTCACAGCCTTAACAACAGTTTGCACAGCTGAAATGAGTCAGTTTCACAAAAGCATGTACACAGAATTGATTAAATGAAGTTAGCACCAGTTAGCACACAAACGGGCTGTTACCACCACTAGGGAGGCTTCTTGAACACAGGACATGTACTAGACTAATGGGATTTAGTGGAGTCACGGTTACAGACACAACATGACATAAAGGGTACAGAAGCACTTTAAACAAGCCACATCCGAGAGTGAGAGCTACACGTACCCTTTACGTTCATGCAATCGTGTGCAGAGACTCTACCTAATAAAGTGTCAGAAGTGAAGATATCTACCTGCTGGTCTTCTAGAGCTTTGGTATTGAGGGACAAACAAACCTCTTCACACAAAGAATAAAGAAACATGTAAAACTTCAAAAACAAGAAATGCAGTCAATAACATGATGTCATTCAGACATGAAAAGACTTTCTTTCATTTGAATAAAAAAGGTCTGATTAACACAGCCATAGGAATGGACGCTCTACACTCTAGGAACTGTTACTTTGCAAAGTTTGGTAAACACTGTAAAGGCCCCGATATACGTCAAGAGAAGTCACAGAACGAACCGGTGTGACGTCACTTCAAACGAAATCAGGCCAAAACAAAGTTCATTCTGTGAGTTTCAAGTGAACTCGAACAAAAGTGAACAGACACGAGCTGCTTTACAGGACAAACTGAAGCAGTAACTGAAACTGACACTGACACTGTATTCACTACTGTGAAGCCATCTGCTGTGTGAAGTGCGTTACTAATAAAGCAGTTCGCATCAGCATTTCTGAAGGTTAAGCACCAGATTTCACTGAACCTCCAATGAACAAATGGTCAGTTTCAAAGCCCCTTCTTTACCAGCACACTCTCTCAGCGTGACGTCATCAGGTGCGTGCGAGGCTGGGGTGTTACGCACCATCCTGACACTAATGATATTTGAGCGCTCGTCTGTGGAGACGTGACCAAGCTTGTCTACAGAGTCAATACAGCACAAGTGGAGGAACGTCTTACCGGGGGAGTTGGCCAGCGACGCGTGAAACACAGAGAAGTTGATGAGAGCGTACGATGCCAGGAAGAAATTGGAAATGATCGGGGCGATGATGTTCAACTCCGCTGGAGAAATTAAAAACAAGCATGTGTCAGAGCGAGGTGACCTCATCAACCCATCCCATCGTTTTATTCAACAACAATTTCTACCAATTAAAAATAATGAAATTTGTCGAGATCCTACCAATGAGAATGAAGGCCAAGGCAATGCCAAAGGTGAGGAAATATCCTCGCAGGGGCTCGTTGTTTTTGCCGTAGCCCTTCCCGAAAACCGCAATTCCAGGGTAGATATTGTCTTTGCATAAGGCCTGAGGAAATGGAAGAATCTATCAAACCAGCAAGACCTGTTCTGACGTCACGGAGCGAAACCACACATGTTAAAACACACAGCGGTCTCTGACATGAAGCAGCGCATGAGATACCCACCTGGAAGACTTTGGGGGCACTGACGAGAGAGGCCAGGGCCGAGGAGAGGGTCGCGGAGAAGATGCCGGCTGTGATGAGGGGCCCGAAGCCTGACACCACACTCATGACCTGCAGAACAAGACATTCAGACACAACCGCAGCCTTTCTCTGCCAATCCTGATGCATCCCGTCTGTAATGCTGTTAGTATTATTTATTTTTATTGCCATGCCAGCATCTAAGGCTATTTTCATGGCAAAACTTGTAAAATTAATTTGTAATTGTATGCCAGGGCCGAGGAGAGGGTCGCGGAGAAGATGCCGGCTGTGATGAGGGGCCCGAAGCCTGACACCACACTCATGACCTGCAGAACAAGACATTCAGACACAACCGCAGCCTTTCTCTGCCAATCCTGATGCATCCCGTCTGTAATGCTGTTAGTATTATTTATTTTTATTGCCATGCCAGCATCTAAGGCTATTTTCATGGCAAAACTTGTAAAATTAATTTGTAATTGTAATTGTATTTTAAGTTGTAAAATACAAATGAAGCAAACACAAAAACACAGTAATTAAAATTATACAAGGATTTTTTTAATTAATCTAATTTTTCTAAAAATCTTTTCTGATAAAATCTTACTAAATAACAGGGTTTCTGCAGGATATTTAAGCTCAAATCTAAGACTTTAAGACCTGCACAAATAAAATGAATACCATATGAGCGGGGTAAGGCAGTGTCTATAGTAACATATTAAACTGTAAAAAGCATGATTTACATTTCAGATACAAGTTTTCACAAAAACAAAAAGTTTTAATTAAACAAAAGTATTCATTACATTAATTTAAACAATTATCAATAAATGATTATATTAATTAAATAACAAATAAATTTTACCGTTTAGATTTTTATAATGCATTCTTTTTATCGATCCACCAATTCACATTTACAGCACTGCGTGTTTGCAGGGTAAAAACATGGGTCGATTTTTGCATTGGTCTGAACAAAAACAACAGGCTCACTGAAAATTAAGCCATATCGCAATTCTGGTCTTTCCGCCCCCCAATTTTTTTTTTTTTTTATTTCCCGCCCCAAAGACTTCTTGAAATCATAATTAAGACTTTCTTGTACAATTTAAGACTTTTTATGGCTTTAAATTTGATACAACTAAATCTAAGACGTTTTAAGGACTCGCAGGAACCCTGAACAAGTCCCCGAGTGAGCATACTTCATAAAAAAAAACTAGGCATTAAAACTAGGCCTGGGCGATAAAACGGTATCGATATTTAATCGACGGTACACCTTCTTCGATAACGATATAAAAAAATGTTCGATATAGTGCAGGATATAGGCACGTGCTCTGAGTGACGCAGACAGCACACACGAACACATGCTGAAATGAGTGCTGTGTCTGCCTGTGATGAGGAGATTGAGAATAAAGAATGAATATTAGTCGAATTTAAAATAAACATTTGCATTTGAATGTTAGGAGTGAGGAATGTTTTGTTAGTCTAGCCCATGAGACGCGCCGCTGCTGCATTATTCATTCAAAATATTAGAGAAATATAGAAGCTCAATGCGGAGAAGATCTTGAATGATTAAAACTGAAACCAAGCCATTCACACAGAATGCATATTCAGCACATTTTTAGACGGACAAATATGACTGCTGGACTCGCGTCTCGCACAAAAGATGTATAGAAAGCCATGCAAAGTTAAAACAGTTTAAACTTTTAGAAAACACGTCACGAATTTGTGGAGGTTTATTCCTTTTCACTGCATCTCGTATGTTTTTAAATGCCATCTGTGATGGGCGATTTGGCTCTTTGTATTAAGCAATGCATAAACACGTTACTATTTTGTTCATAATTGTTTATGCAATTTACAAAATTATATTTGATTTATACGAGTTAATTTATATTAATATTTGTTGTTTGTCTCAATAAATTGGGTTAATTTAAAAATACAGTGGTTAAATAAAAAAAAAAAGTCTATTGCTCTTTGTTTTAAAAAAGGTTATATAAATGTCAATAATTATCGATACCGAACGATATGAAACATTATATAGTTTCTTTTTTTTAGCTATATCGCCCAGCCCTAATTAAAACCAATACATTCCAATAAAATGTTTCATTTGGCCAGAGTCTGTGCTGTGTGCCAAGTGGAAGCGTTTTAGCATTATGCCTTAAAATGATGCTCAGGACGCTCACTAGGATTTGGAACGGAGTCATAATGTAGAAAAGGCTGTTGTCTGTATGTCTGCTGTCGATGATGTACCTGGAAATCATTGTAAAGGCCGAACTTGCAGGCAGACTTCCCTCCTTCAACAGGTCTGCAGGAACTGAAGTCATAGCCGAACTTACAGGCCGCATCAGTGCAGTTTAAGCCACTGAGAGTTACGTTACTCTCCATTCCTGTAGCATCCCGCACGATGCAAGCACCTTTCAACAAAACATTCAATACATAATACAAATCAATCAATAATACAGGAGTAATCAAAACGATATGCAATTCTGAGAGAGTATACCTGCAGAGATGGCCACACCCACGTACACGAGGCCCGTTATGAGGATAGCCAACAGCGTTCCTTTAGGGATGGCCATTTGAGGATCCTTAGAGAAAAGAAACCATTACAGAGAATCTTTGCAGAGACTGTGATGAAGAGTAACTAAATGCATTGAGGAAAGGATTGCCGACACTCACTGCTAGATCTCCTGAGATGTTGGCTCCAGCCAAAATGCCTGTGGCAGCTGGGAAGAAGATGGAAAAAACGGAGAAAAACGTCTCCCCTCGAAAGTCTGGGCCAAAGTTATCTGCCAAGATGCCCGCTAAAAAGACAAGATGTCCGATAATTACAGTAGTTAGATAATGGAAAGCACAACAGGAATGAATAAAGAGAAAACAACTACCAAATTTCAAACTCAGAACTCAGGTCACACAAAAACATTCCCAGTGGCCTTGGACTATCCTGAACTATTGTTCTTAACTGGTTTTCCCTAAAGACTCAAATGGCGATCAAGTGACATTGTTAAAGTAAAAAAAAATTTATATTATACCAAGAAAAACTACAGCAAATCTCAGAAGCCTTGGCTTCATGGTTTCCACCTTTTTAATTTTTTAAGGTTTCATTCTTGCCAGTGAGTAATTCACAGCACAAAACACTGTGCTCAGCACAAACCATGTTTATCAAACACAGTAGAGTTTGATTTGACGCACACCCTTTTACATTATTAAAAAAAAAAACGTTCATAGCAGTTTATCATGTACATACAGCTTCGTTTTCTTTCTGATGCCCACCGGTTGATAAGTGCTGGTCTAGATGAGCTCATTCTTACCGTCATAGCTGAAGAAGCCAAATTTCTCCTTGGACTCGACAGGGATGAAGGTCCCAATGAAGTAGTTAAAGATAGCAGTGACCAAAATGAACAAGAGGAATATTTGAGCCTGTGAAACAAAATCATTTTGACAAATGGTGAATTCATAAGGTCAGCACTGGCTGATGATCAAAGAAAACTGAAGATACACTAAATCCCCCGCCTTGCCCTCCCACTCCATTCCAGCCACTGAGACGCCAAGCAGCAGGATGACTGTAATGGTTCCAATGATCCTGACGTCATTAATCTCATCGAGCATGAGCGCACCGGAATTCTAAACGGACACAAACCCATGTGATTAGTCGGCCTACACAAAATAATTTTAAAGCAAACTGAACAATGTATGAGAGAACAGAACTGCGCCTCTTACAATGAGCAGCTCAACTACAGTTTCTGCAAAGCCCACGACGTACATGGCCACAGCCACAGCGTTGGCAAAGGCAAAAATCAGACCAATGGAGCCGCCAAACTCTGGGCCCAAACTTCGAGATATTAAGTAATACGCCCCACCTGAAGAAAAGATATTAAACAGATCACCTTTCTGAAAAGACAATTCGAGGCTGATTTATCAGTTATCCTGTTGCATCATTAAGAGGCCCTTTAAAATATTCTGAAAATCGCACCATCGTGATTTCATGAGCAGGTGCACACAAACACTTGGACAAATTCAAGTTCATTGCTAGGACCTTTTGAAACGGAATGGTGGCCATACATGCATTGCTTACTCACACATTCGGTTATGTTATTTCAGTATCTCACTCACTCACTCACTCACTCACTCACTCACTCACTCACTCACTCACTCACTCACTCACTCACTCACTCACTCACTCACTCACTCACTCACTCACTCACTCACTCACTCACTCACTCACTCACTCACTCACTCACTCACTCACTCACTCACTCACTCACTCACTCACTCACTCACTCACTCACTCACTCACTCACTCACTCACTCACTCACTCACTCACTCACTCACTCACTCACTCACTCACTCACTCACTCACTCACTCACTCACTCACTCACTCACTCACTCACTCACTCACTCACTCACTCACTCACTCACTCACTCACTCACTCACTCACTCACTCACTCACTCACTCACTCACTCACTCACTCACTCACTCACTCACTCACTCACTCACTCACTCACTCACTCACTCACTCACTCACTCACTCACTCACTCACTCACTCACTCACTCACTCACTCACTCACTCACTCACTCACTCACTCACTCACTCACTCACTCACTCACTCACTCACTCACTCACTCACTCACTCACTCACTCACTCACTCACTCACTCACTCACTCACTCACTCACTCACTCACTCACTCACTCACTCACTCACTCACTCACTCACTCACTCACTCACTCACTCACTCACTCACTCACTCACTCACTCACTCACTCACTCACTCACTCACTCACTCACTCACTCACTCACTCACTCACTCACTCACTCACTCACTCACTCACTCACTCACTCACTCACTCACTCACTCACTCACTCACTCACTCACTCACTCACTCACTCACTCACTCACTCACTCACTCACTCACTCACTCACTCACTCACTCACTCACTCACTCACTCACTCACTCACTCACTCACTCACTCACTCACTCACTCACTCACTCACTCACTCACTCACTCACTCACTCACTCACTCACTCACTCACTCACTCACTCACTCACTCACTCACTCACTCACTCACTCACTCACTCACTCACTCACTCACTCACTCACTCACTCACTCACTCACTCACTCACTCACTCACTCACTCACTCACTCACTCACTCACTCACTCACTCACTCACTCACTCACTCACTCACTCACTCACTCACTCACTCACTCACTCACTCACTCACTCACTCACTCACTCACTCACTCACTCACTCACTCACTCACTCACTCACTCACTCACTCACTCACTCACTCACTCACTCACTCACTCACTCACTCACTCACTCACTCACTCACTCACTCACTCACTCACTCACTCACTCACTCACTCACTCACTCACTCACTCACTCACTCACTCACTCACTCACTCACTCACTCACTCACTCACTCACTCACTCACTCACTCACTCACTCACTCACTCACTCACTCACTCACTCACTCACTCACTCACTCACTCACTCACTCACTCACTCACTCACTCACTCACTCACTCACTCACTCACTCACTCACTCACTCACTCACTCACTCACTCACTCACTCACTCACTCACTCACTCACTCACTCACTCACTCACTCACTCACTCACTCACTCACTCACTCACTCACTCACTCACTCACTCACTCACTCACTCACTCACTCACTCACTCACTCACTCACTCACTCACTCACTCACTCACTCACTCACTCACTCACTCACTCACTCACTCACTCACTCACTCACTCACTCACTCACTCACTCACTCACTCACTCACTCACTCACTCACTCACTCACTCACTCACTCACTCACTCACTCACTCACTCACTCACTCACTCACTCACTCACTCACTCACTCACTCACTCACTCACTCACTCACTCACTCACTCACTCACTCACTCACTCACTCACTCACTCACTCACTCACTCACTCACTCACTCACTCACTCACTCACTCACTCACTCACTCACTCACTCACTCACTCACTCACTCACTCACTCACTCACTCACTCACTCACTCACTCACTCACTCACTCACTCACTCACTCACTCACTCACTCACTCACTCACTCACTCACTCACTCACTCACTCACTCACTCACTCACTCACTCACTCACTCACTCACTCACTCACTCACTCACTCACTCACTCACTCACTCACTCACTCACTCACTCACTCACTCACTCACTCACTCACTCACTCACTCACTCACTCACTCACTCACTCACTCACTCACTCACTCACTCACTCACTCACTCACTCACTCACTCACTCACTCACTCACTCACTCACTCACTCACTCACTCACTCACTCACTCACTCACTCACTCACTCACTCACTCACTCACTCACTCACTCACTCACTCACTCACTCACTCACTCACTCACTCACTCACTCACTCACTCACTCACTCACTCACTCACTCACTCACTCACTCACTCACTCACTCACTCACTCACTCACTCACTCACTCACTCACTCACTCACTCACTCACTCACTCACTCACTCACTCACTCACTCACTCACTCACTCACTCACTCACTCACTCACTCACTCACTCACTCACTCACTCACTCACTCACTCACTCACTCACTCACTCACTCACTCACTCACTCACTCACTCACTCACTCACTCACTCACTCACTCACTCACTCACTCACTCACTCACTCACTCACTCACTCACTCACTCACTCACTCACTCACTCACTCACTCACTCACTCACTCACTCACTCACTCACTCACTCACTCACTCACTCACTCACTCACTCACTCACTCACTCACTCACTCACTCACTCACTCACTCACTCACTCACTCACTCACTCACTCACTCACTCACTCACTCACTCACTCACTCACTCACTCACTCACTCACTCACTCACTCACTCACTCACTCACTCACTCACTCACTCACTCACTCACTCACTCACTCACTCACTCACTCACTCACTCACTCACTCACTCACTCACTCACTCACTCACTCACTCACTCACTCACTCACTCACTCACTCACTCACTCACTCACTCACTCACTCACTCACTCACTCACTCACTCACTCACTCACTCACTCACTCACTCACTCACTCACTCACTCACTCACTCACTCACTCACTCACTCACTCACTCACTCACTCACTCACTCACTCACTCACTCACTCACTCACTCACTCACTCACTCACTCACTCACTCACTCACTCACTCACTCACTCACTCACTCACTCACTCACTCACTCACTCACTCACTCACTCACTCACTCACTCACTCACTCACTCACTCACTCACTCACTCACTCACTCACTCACTCACTCACTCACTCACTCACTCACTCACTCACTCACTCACTCACTCACTCACTCACTCACTCACTCACTCACTCACTCACTCACTCACTCACTCACTCACTCACTCACTCACTCACTCACTCACTCACTCACTCACTCACTCACTCACTCACTCACTCACTCACTCACTCACTCACTCACTCACTCACTCACTCACTCACTCACTCACTCACTCACTCACTCACTCACTCACTCACTCACTCACTCACTCACTCACTCACTCACTCACTCACTCACTCACTCACTCACTCACTCACTCACTCACTCACTCACTCACTCACTCACTCACTCACTCACTCACTCACTCACTCACTCACTCACTCACTCACTCACTCACTCACTCACTCACTCACTCACTCACTCACTCACTCACTCACTCACTCACTCACTCACTCACTCACTCACTCACTCACTCACTCACTCACTCACTCACTCACTCACTCACTCACTCACTCACTCACTCACTCACTCACTCACTCACTCACTCACTCACTCACTCACTCACTCACTCACTCACTCACTCACTCACTCACTCACTCACTCACTCACTCACTCACTCACTCACTCACTCACTCACTCACTCACTCACTCACTCACTCACTCACTCACTCACTCACTCACTCACTCACTCACTCACTCACTCACTCACTCACTCACTCACTCACTCACTCACTCACTCACTCACTCACTCACTCACTCACTCACTCACTCACTCACTCACTCACTCACTCACTCACTCACTCACTCACTCACTCACTCACTCACTCACTCACTCACTCACTCACTCACTCACTCACTCACTCACTCACTCACTCACTCACTCACTCACTCACTCACTCACTCACTCACTCACTCACTCACTCACTCACTCACTCACTCACTCACTCACTCACTCACTCACTCACTCACTCACTCACTCACTCACTCACTCACTCACTCACTCACTCACTCACTCACTCACTCACTCACTCACTCACTCACTCACTCACTCACTCACTCACTCACTCACTCACTCACTCACTCACTCACTCACTCACTCACT